CCTTAGAGTGGCATGACTCACCTTAGAGTGGCATGACTCACCTTAGAGTGGCATGACTCACCTTAGAGTGGCATGACTCACCTGTGTCAGCAGTGAAGGCTTGCTGCAGCTGCACCAGCAGCAGCAGCAGCGCCGGCCAGCGCCACAGCCAAGGCATCGCCCGCGCTGAGTAAACAAATAATAATAATAATAATAACAATAATAATAATAATAATAATAATTATAATGATAATAATAGCGGTTTCAACGTTTATTAGACCCTAGGCCTGTCGCCGATTCCTAACATCGCTGAACATTCACAGCATTTTGCGGTCTCGAACCCGCCACTCTCTGCTCCAATCACACAATACATCACACATTTCATTTTAACCAAAATATAATGCGTATTATAGTTACAAGAGTTCCACATTTTCTCAGGCGCGTACTGCAATAACATGAAATATTTAAATAAAACTAATCAATCGCAGCAGTGCCAGTTATATATTTTCGCCTACAGAACAAAACACGCCACTTAATCTCCTCACTTAATTGCCTATCACCTAAAATATTCCGAAAAAAACTTACAACCACATGCAATTTAACCACTTGGCCACTAGGCTATGTGTCGTTGTGAGTAATGCGGTATAGTTTAGTGTATAACATAGTTTAGTCTAAAATGAATAGTGTGCTAATATTGACACACTTTCTTTTTCATTCACGTGCCAGGAATGGGGTATAGTGAAGTGAGTAATGTGGTATAGTGAGTAATGCGGTATAGTGAAGTAATATGATATAGTTTAGTCTATAACATAGTTTACTCTAAAATGAATAGTGTGCTAGTATTGATACACTTTCTTATTCATTCACGTGCCAGGAACGAACTCACTGCAACGCGCCTTTCCTGGGTCAAACTGAGTCAGGATGACACAAACGAGGACAAACAAGTGGACAAAAGTCACCGTTATATCGCTGAGTGTATAAATATACACCCTCCTTCGCTGCAACATAAACCATGTAGCAGCGCTGCTGCTCCCAACATAATCTGTATAATTGCAGCATAAAGTGCTAGCTAGCACTCGTATTTTCAACTGGAAAAAGCTACTTTTTTGTACCTTGTGGCCCATTAGATTACTGCCTTTACCAGCACTGCCACAGCCACTTCCGGCACTGCCACAGCNTAGGCAGGAATATTGTTGATGTCTGAACTTAGGCAGGAATATTGTTGATGTCTGAACTTAGGCAGGAATATTGTTGATGTCTGAACTTAGGCAGGAATATTGTTGATGGCTGAACTTAGGCAGGAATATTGTTGATGGCTGAACTTAGGCAGGAATATTGTTGATGGCTGAACTTAGTCAAGAATATTGTTGATGGCTGAATTCTAGATGCCCCCCCCCACCTTACGACGGTCGTATATATAATTAAGTTCTTTATTTCGGTGGTGGGTGAGAGGTCAAGGTCGAACTTCTTAGGTGAAGGTCAGACCTCGTTAAACTTTGACCTATGAACTCGAAAAGCTACACGTAACAATTTCGTATGCGCTGCAATTACGACCACCGCACCACTTACGACCACCGCACCACTTACGACCTCCGCACCACTTACGACCACCGCACCACTTACGACCACCGCACCACTTACG